TTTTTTTTTTTTTTTTGCTAGAAGTTCTGTTTGACCTCAGCCTGTAGCTGTTCCCTGAGAAGAGGTTTTCCAGGCCTGTTTTCTCTGTTGAGCTGTAGCCTCACACCCCCAGCTCCTTGTTGAGTCGACAGCCAGCCTCTCAGGTGCAGTGATGCCAAAGGGCTCACCTTCCCTCCCAAACCTCACCGTCCTGTGCTCTGTGTGTCTTTCTGAGTCACCAGCCTCAGAACGCTGGGATGATTTTTATATTTAAGGCTTCTCCCCTCCCCGCCTTCCCCATCCGATCACCCCAGATCCTGTCCTCATTGCCCTCTGCAAACTCCCAGCTCTTTCCTCGTGGTTGTAACCGGACAATTGCAGTCGATGTCTCACCGTTCTCCCTCCATTCCCCCTTTCTGTGCCTTCTTAGACACTAGCGCAAGATTAACTTTCTGACCACGTCACTTAATTGCTCAAAAGTGGTTTCCAAAATTCAACAAAAACTAAAGCAAGTAAATGAGGGGAAAAGGCTCCTGTCAAATAAAGGCCAAGCTCCTTAGCCTTGAATTCCTGGCACCCTTTCGGATTCCAGCCTCGTATCCTAAGCTGCAGCCGACTTGAACCACGTAGCGTTTTCACTGCATAGCCCACACTTTCCTTTGGAACTCCTCCCATCAGCTTGAGCAAATGAAGACTGTTCGGGCTGTGGCATGATTTCCTTTCTTTTGAAAGGATATTTCAGTGATTTATTACATATTAACGTGCCATGCATTTGAGATCCCATTTTGCACGTACCTGAAACAAGAAGCCGCTAGAGTTTGAAGAGATGTGGTTTTTCACCCATGTCATTCGCCATTTCCTCGCTCTTCGCTATTTTAGACTCAAACCGTGGAGCGTGTTTCGTCATCCATCCTTTCACACGGAAAATGGCCACACATCTCAGTGTCACAGAGGAGTAAAGGGAGAACGTAAATCAGTTTCCTTAACCGCCTCATAGAAAAGAGAGTGCCCACTGTCATGCCACCCGGCCTCTCCAGCTTCATGAAGTCAGCCGTTTCCCTGCCACTCGCATTTTAAAGTGCGCTTTGGTTGTGAGCTCCATTCTACTCCCTGCCCACAGGTTTGGTGGCAGGCACACCGGCCAGGTCGACATTGGTCGCAGTGCGTGTCTTGTTCGTGGCAAGCGTCCGAAGCTGTTTGCTGGCTCAGTGAGCATGTGCTTGAGTGTATCAAGGAAGGGCCCTTTGAAACTCTGTTTTCTGCTCTCTTGACCTCCCCCAGTGCTTGGCCTATACTTGCTCCTGGGATTCCTATTAATAGCAGACAAACCCCCCTCCCTCAGGGCTCGTGATGCTGGTAAGCAGCCGTGCTGTTCCTTATTTGAAACTTCCCATGCAGGCTTGGCCACTGGGAAGTAAATATTATTGTAATCACCATGTGCACTGAAAACCTTTGTTGTCGGATCTCCTCGCTGGCCTTAGGTCTTAAACACTGTCTTACAGTCTTACAGTGTTTAAGTAAATTGACTTAAAAGTTGGTTCTGCGTGCTGTTTGTGGGCCTCGTGTTTGGGCCCCTCTGCGTTGACATCAGCTCAGCGGCTCACTCCCTCTTTGCAGCGGTGCCTCCGGGTTGCTCGCGCTCTAGCTCCTGGTGCAGGTCTGTTCCTCAGATGCTGCTTGTTAAAGTGAGTCCTTTGATTTTTGTCTCCTCGGCTTGTTGTTTTTCAAAACAGAAACAGACAGTCCATTGATATACCAGTGTTTACATAACAACTGGGCCTGTTGACCTAGCTCCAGACATCTAGGCAGCCATGGTGACTTGACATTTGTTGTCAAAAACGGTCGTCATTTCACCCACGCCGGCGTGGCTCAGTGGCCAGAGCGTGGGCCCGCACCCCAAAGGGTCTCAGGTTCGATTCCTGGTCTAGGGCATGTACCTGGGTTGCAGGTTTGATCCCCAGCCCCAGTTGGGGTGTGTGCAGGAGACAAGCAATCGATGTGACCCTCTCACATTGATGTTTTTCTCTCTCACTTTCTTTTTCTCTCTCTCTCCTCTCTCTTCCCCTCTCCCCTCCTCCCTTCCATTTCTTGAAAAATCAATAGAAAAAATACCCTTGGATGGGCAATTAACAACAACAACAAACAAGCAAAAAAAAAACCACCCCACTCCAGTCTCTTTTCTTCTCTTACGGTAACCAAAATTAAGGAATATTTTTTCAATATGCATTTTTCTTTACCATGAATAATCCTCACATTTGAAAGAGAGAGGGGCTGGCGTGGTAGCTGTTCTCAGGAAGTCCCGTGGAGCCCGCCTGTGCTTCCCTTCGCCGTGAGAGAGGCAGAGGCCTGTTATACTCATGAGTTTGGCCAGAATAAGGAGCGTTCGTTGGGCGCCACATAATTCCCTGTGGGTGGGTTATCGTCTCTTCATCCTGATCGACTCCTTTGAATCAGGGGAGAGAATCGAAACAGACCAGTGTGGCTTCCCTGGTAATCTAGCGATGTGAAATGATTTCTGTGTGTGCGGTAATTATAGAAATTAGGGATATTTGTTTTCTTCCTGAAGGCAGAGTATTTGGCCCATTCTGGGTTCTTTTCCTGATGGACAGTGTGGCTCAGGGATGATCTTAATTTCTTTTGCCCTAATTTTTCTGTCTGTGAATGGAAGTTCTGTCTGACCCCAGGCATGTGGTGAAGGGTAATGAGAGATTTGATATTCTTGGGCCCTAAGACACTGTAAATTCAAAATGAGGACATGCCAATAATGACTCCTGAGAACAGAGTTAATTGCAGCTATATAACTTCCTTTCAACTTTTCACTGATCCTTGAGCATGAGAAGAAAGGCGCCATAGCCATTACTCCTTCTCACGTGACTTTCTAGGAGCCCATCTCCAGCCGTCTTTTGGGGCTTGAAAGCTTGACCGTGTGGTGTTACACCATTTATCTGCTGGATTCACTGGGTGGGGAAGGGC